GAAGGGTGTTTACGCTTTCGCCTTTTCGGGCTTCCGTCGGCCCAAGATGGCCCAAGAGGCTTCCAAGATGGCCCCACGATGGTCCAAATGGGCCCCCACGACGGCCTCAACACGGCCAAGGAGGGACACAGGAGAGCCTGAATCTGGCCCCAGAAGGTTTCTGGACGGACCGGGGACAGCCTAATATGACCCCTGGACTGCGCAACACGGCCTCGCGGCGGCTCCAGCAGACCCCGAGACGGCCGCGGGGGCCCCACGAGAGCCCCAAGCTGGCCCAAGAGGGCCCCGACCCGACCCAAGGGGGCCCCAAGGGAGGTCCAAGACTGCCCCAAAAGAGCCCAGGACAGCCTCAAGACAGCCAGAGCAAGATCCATAATGGCTCGCCGAGAAGCGAAGACGAAAGGTGTCACATGTGACCGCTCTCCTCCTCCTCCTCCTCCTCCCTTTCTTCCTTCCCCTCCTCCTCCACGTCATCGTCGTCGTCATCGTGATCATCATCATCCTCATAATCATCATCAGTATTATTAGCATCATCGTCATCACCAGCATTATCACCGTCATATATTTGAAAATACGTCACCTCGAATGCTGGACTGGCACGGTGTCGGACTTGCTGCAGGCAGCTGGATCACAATCACAATCGTCCATGTGATCATACTTGTCAGCATCATTTTTATTCTAACCCTCCGCGTCACGATCATCCTCCCCTCCTCGTCCTCTCGTCACCGTCACGTCCATGATCTCTCGTTTTATCCCGTTTCCTTGTCATCATCCCCCTGACACTCCTGCTCTTCATCCTCGCTTTTCGCTCTGTGGGACCCAATCGGCCCAACGAAGCTCCTCAGAGGTCTCACGAAGCTTTGCATAGGCACCACGAAGCTCTTCAGGGGCCCCACGGAGCTCTTTAGAGGCCCTAAGAGGCTCGTCATAGGCGCTTTGTCGGCGTGTGTTTTGGTGCTTTGGTGCTTCGGCAGCCTGGGGCGTCAACACCTCGCCAGGCCCGTGCGCTGGGCTCTCGAGCGACCGACCGTCGCCTGCCGAGCCTCCGAGGGAGCCGAGCCGCGGGCAGCGCTCCCGCCGACTCCCCAGGGTGCAGAGCGCGCTGGCCCTCTCGAGGCCGCGCCCCACCCTAGGCCCCTCAGCCTGGAGCCAAGGGGGGCTGAAAAGCGAGCGAGCTCAGCCGAGCCCAGGCCACCGCCAACGGCGAATGCGGGCCCAGGCACCCCAAGGGACAGCAGCCCCTCAGGCCCCCCAGCCACGGCTTCTCATCCGCGCCGAGGGGGGCATTGCATCCGACGTTGCGAGCATCGAATAAGAAGCACCAGCATATATAGAAACTTTAAAGATCTTCTCGCGGACATCTGAGTTTTTATGTTTATGTCACTGTGCGTCCCGCTACAATCTGCAACATCGCGAGAAGTCATGACCGGAGCCCCGGGCCCTACCTTTATGCGGCATTTTCCGAGCCAGACCGATCTGTGATGGTCCCAGGGCCCGACGCAAGGCATAATCGCCCGTAGTGGTGCCAAGATCCCAGGGGCTTCAGACGTGCCTCGAGGGGACGCTCGCGGGCGCCGCGCGATGCCCCCGAGCGTGGCAAGGCAGCTTCCCTCCCGGTCAGAGCGCCTCGCTGAGTCGCTCACGGCTATTGTCCCACCACGCCCTCTGCGCCCCCCGTCGGGGGTGGGCCGATGGGCCTCCGGGGGGCGCCCTCGTCCGCATCCTGGCGCGACTTTGGAAATCAGCCAAGGCAGTGCACCAGAGGGCTCTGTGGACCAGCTTTTTTGTCGACTCTTGCCCCTATTCTGACCCTCCCCCGCGGAGCGCGATGCCAGCAACCGCCAGCGCACCTGTGCCCTGGGCGCCAAGGTCTGCTCCTACTCCCTCTTCCTCCCTCCGTTCCTCCTTCCGCTCCGCGTGGGGCAAAGCTCGTCGCCCGCGGAACGTGTGGTGACCAGGCCAGACTTTTGTGCTCGCCTCGCCAGTCGCCTTAGACATGGACAATCAGTTTCGAGCACTTCGGGTCACTGCAGGAGGGAAGTAGTTCAGTGTCCTCTAGTGCAGCACGTAAGAGAATGCGGAAAGGAGCTGGCGACGGTAGCGAAGCCCCTCACACGTTGTGACACTTGTACCCTTTGCGCTTTGTGCATGCCTTACATGCTGCAGCCACGCTGCTCCGAAGGAGGCGCGATGAACGGATGGTTGTTGAGACGATAGGGCATTGCGGGACGGCGTGCCACTGAATTTCGAAGGATCGAGGTTGTGCGTCTAGAGTTTACGGAAGGCGGGACATGATGTGAACGAGGAACGCTATATGTATGTGCCATCGAAGATGTTCAAATCATCAGCTTCGTTGCTACCCACATTGTCATGGCCCATCCCTGTCGCGCCATAGGATGCAGTGGGTGCTGTGCTCTCAGCTCGTCGCCATACATTTGTGGCTGCTTGTGTTCTGCAGTGGTTGTTGCGTCGAAGCTGCTTTACCCGCGTTGCGCTTCAGGCGTGGGACGTGTGCTACTGCGACGACATGTGCGACTTCGACGAGAACTGGTTTCGCCTCCTCCTCCACTGACTGACATTTGCTCTGGGGTCTGTTGCTCTTGAGGTCGCGTGGCAGAGCTGTTTTTTCCTCTTAGGTTCATCGAAGCTCGTCTTCCTTCAGGTTTGCCAATTTCCGATGAGCTCGGCTACAGGTGTGAGTGTTTGTCAATTCTTGCGCGGCGTGCTGTGCGCGCAACTTACAGCGTGGTGGGCGGGTTGACAGGATTCGAGGGAGTAAGCGGGGAGACGGAGGGAGTGAGGGAGGGCAGTGGCGGGAGGGAGGCAGAACGGGGGGGGGGAGGAGGGAGACAGGGCGGGGGTGGGTGGGTGGGCGGGTGGGGTTGGTAGTAGAGTGGTGTGTGTGTGTGTATGTGTGTGTGTGTAAGTGTGTGTGTGTGTGTGTGCGTGTTGTGTGTGTTTGTGTGTGTGTGTGTTGTGTGTTTGTGTGTTTGTGTGTGTGGTGTGTGTGTGTGTGTGTGTGTGTGTACGCGTGTGCTTGTGTGCGCGCACGCGCGCGCGTGTGTGTGTGTGTGTGTGTGTGTGTGTGTGTGTGTGTGTGTCTGTGTGTCTCTGTGTGTCTGTGTGTGGGTGTGTGTTTGTTTGTCTGTTTGCCTGTTTGTCTGCTTGTTTGTCTGTCTGTTTGTGTGTGCGTGTGTGTGGTGGGGCGGGGGCGGGGGTGGGGGGGCGGGGGGTAGGGGGGAGGTGGGCGGGGATCAGGAAGGAGGGAGACACGTGGCGGGGCGGCACTCGATTCACCCCCTTCCTTCTCCTCCCCCCTCCTCCTCCTCCTCCTCCTCCTCCTCCTCCTCCCTCCTCCTCCTCCTCCTCCTCCTCCTCCTCCTCCTCCTCCTCCTCCTCCCCTCGCTCCCTCCCTGTCCTCCCTTCCCCGCCTCTCCCCGTCCTTCCGGATAAAGCGACCACGGGCTCCCAATTCAGACGAATACCCAGCTCATTGCTGTGTCCCCCCTTCCCTCCTCATTTCCTCAGCTCTCTGCCTTGTCCTCCTTGTCCTCCTCCCAGGCTTCTTGTCCATCCCCCTCCTCCGTGATGGCTCCAGCTATTGAAAGTCAACGTCGATTGAACAAGCTCTCGTGCTTGAAAAAAGGGCAGTCTGGCCCAGTGCCAAGAACCCTTTGGAATTGTCTGGCTGTCTTCGTACTTTTTGTTGATAGGGACCAGAATTGGAATTGCCCCATGTAGGTGCTCAACAGTATCATTCATTAGGAAGGCTTTACGGCCGGTGCCGCCGGCGGCGGCGGCGACGACGACATTGACGCTCTGGAGCCCTTCATGTCTGCAGGTGCTCGGATATCCAGTGGTACGATCAGTTGTGCAAACATGCGTGCTTAAGTCAATTGGTGGAGCCAGAGTTCATTGACACACCATCCTGCCGAGGGCTCGAAGTAGGACTGGAACTGCATGAGGCGCCGTGCTACGATAAGGAGCGTCAGAATGTGGACACTGGCATTCATATTTCGATCCTGGTGCCCCCGAGTTTGTCCCGCCTTGGCATATCTTGAACGAGGACTCGTGCGACGAGGAGGAAGATGAAGAGTTGGGGCGGATGATGAGCTTCGCACTCGGCCCGTGTACCGTGGTCACTGGGTTGGTGCTTTCGCCGGCGTGGCCGAGATACATGTTTGGGGTCTCCGTTGTCCCGATGACGTTTTTGTTGTTTCCGTTTATGTTTTTGTTGTTGGTGTTGTATTGTTGTTGTTGGTGCAGTTGGTGAGTTCGCATTTCTACAGCATAATGGTTGTTAATCTCCCGCTCCAGTGACCATTGTATTTTGTAATCGAGGTGCTCCTCCTGGGGCTCGCACCCTGTTTTTCATAAGGGAAGATGTTGTGTCACTTAATCGTGTTGTTGGCTCTCGGTTGAAGGCAACAGTGGCTCCCGCCTGATGCTTTCTTGCATGTTATTATAACTCGCGCTCTCGTGCGGGACTTCTTTATAATGTATGCAGGAATCGCGCTCGCGCGTGGTACCTCCTCACAGTTTTTTGCGTCGCCGTGCCCCCGGGACTCAGGAATTACGATCTCGCTTTCGGTTTCTTAACGCTGTACTTGGGAGTCGCGCTATCTCTCGGCATCTCCTTGCGATTCATGCTGGGTTGACGCTTCAGCGATCCGCTCGCTCGACCTGGCCGTCTTGGCCCGCCCGCCCGTCCTGCCCGGCAGGGCCCGCCCACCGGACCCGCCCGTTTGGTTCTGCCGCTTGTATTCCTGCTCCTGGTCACTCCTCCTGCACATCTCTCTCGTGCTCCATCCTGCTCCCTCCCCCTTGTCTCTGTCCCCCTCCCTTCCGTCCCCTGTTTGAGGGGCTGCGCCAACTACGCGCGGCAGGGAGGATTTGAAATTTACGTGTTGGATGGCACGCGAGCAGGTAAGAGCGAAACACATGTTACATGATTGTTGTTGTTATTAGTCTTCTTGTTGTTGATTGTGTTGTCGTCGTCGTCGTCATTATCGTTGTTGGTGCTGCTGTTGCTGCTGCTGCTGCTAATGTTGTTGTTGCTGCTTTTGTTGTGATTGTTATTATTGTTGCTGTAGTTGTTGTTGCTGTTGTTGTTGTTGTTGTTGTGTGTTCGACATATAGCGCAGCTAACGAGCGACACGGGGATTACAGGTCAATCCAGGGCAGCAGCATGGACTGCGTATTCCCCACTACAGTGCCCTTGCGGAGCACTGCTGGCCACGCCCTGAAGTGGTTTAGGATGGTACTGAGTGGCGTTAAGCAACTTGGATATGAGTATGATGCTGCTGGTGGCGACATTGAACAGTTCGGACCGTGGTGACGTCAATGGTGTTGACGGCGAGAAGTGTGCCCTGAGTGCAGGTGTGGACGAAGGTTATGGTGATGAAACTGGTGGGGGAAATTACTATTACGGTTACGATGTTGTGACGGGGAAAGTCATGATGAGGGTGATGAAGATGGTGCAATGATGGAAATCGTGACGATGATATTGCTGATGATGATGATGATCATGCTGCTAACGCTGATGATAATGTTGCTGCTGCTAGTGATTATGATGATGATGATGATGATGATGATGATGATGGTGATAATGAAAATGATGATGCTGCTGATGATGATGGTAGTGATGCTGAGGAGGATGAGGATGATGATGAGGGTAACAATGAACATGATGATGCGGATTATGATGGTGGTGATGGTGATGCTGATGCTGATGCTGCTGCTGATGATGATGAAGATAAAGATGTTCAAGATGGCGGTGATGATGATGATGCTGACGATGATGCTGTGCTAAGGATGGTGCTTCTGTTATAGCTGATGCTGGTTACGATAAAACGTATGTTGATTATGCTGAATTATGCTGGTGATGATTTTAATGCTGATGCCGATGCTGCTGCTGTTGATGATGTGAATCATGATGATGCTGATACTGATGGTGATGATGTTGATGCTGATGCTTGTGATTCTGATGATGACGATGATGTTGACATTGTGATGATGGAGATGATTATGATGATGGTGGTGGTGATATGATGATGCTGATGATAATGGTGATGGTAGTGATGGTGCTGATGCTGATGTTGATGCTGATGCTGCTGCTGCTGCTGCTGATGATGATGATGATGATGATGATGATGACGATGATGATTGTGGTGGCTATGAGGATCCGCCGATATGGCATACAAGAGCCCCACAAGGGCCCCAACTGTCTCTCGAGGGCCTCAACTGGGCCCAAGCAGAGCCATAGAAGGTTTCTTGAGGGTCAGATCGCCAAAGAGAGATCCCAAACGATCCAAGACGGCCCCAAGATGCCGCAATAGCGCCCCAAGACGTCCCAAGATGGTTTGAGGATGGCTCCAAGCGGGCCCAAGAGGGCCCCGAAGGCTTCAAGAAGGCCTTTAACTATGATGTTAGAGCATACAAGATGGGGTCTGGTTGGAGACTTTTTTTGTACCCCCTGGCGATAACGGGCGTGATCCGTGGGGGGGAGGGGGCCAGTTACGTGACGATTCGCGCCGGCGCCGTCTGGAAAGGCTCAGGCATGGCTGATTACCACACTGCCAGCGCGAATGGTGGCGTGACCAGGGGCGGTGGGGGGAGAGGGGGGAACTTGGCATCGCTCGGACGTGTGCATTTTGTCTCGGCGGGAACCATCGAGGACCATCCAGGACCATCGAGCAAAAAGAACACGCGCGAAACCGAACAACGCACGGGAAATGGACGTCCGAGCGACGGCGAGAGAGGGGGCGGGGCCGGTCACTGGCGGAATCGCGAATAATAATAGTAATAATGATAATAATGATAATAATAATAATAATAATAATAATAAAATGAAATAATTATCCCGGCAAAGCAACCTAACAGCGATGTGTAGGAGCATATCTGGAAGCATCCCCTTAAGATTCAGATGAGAATCCAGTTGTAGAGTTCTGCTGTTCTCGCAGTCGTAGTCGCATTCGCGATGACAGTCGCAGTGGCCTGCATTCAGCCTCAGCCTCAGCCTCAGCCTCAGCCTCAGCCTGCCTCAGCCTCAGCCTCAGCCTGCCTCAGCCTCAGCCTCAGCCTGCTTCAGCCTCAGCCTCAGTCTGCCTTCAGCCTGCCTCAGCCTGCCTCAGCCTCAGCCTGCTCAGCCTCAGCCTCAGCCTCAGCCTCAGCTCAGCCTGCCTCAGCCTGCCTCAGCCTGCCTCAGCCTCAGCCTCAGCCTCAGCCTCAGCCTCAGCCTGCCTCAGCCTCAGCCTGCCTCAGCCTCATCAGCCTCAGCCTCAGCCTCAGCCTCAGCCTCAGCCCTCAGCCTCAGCCTCAGCCTCAGCCTGCCTCAGCATCAGCCTGCCTCAGCCTCAGCCTCAGCCTGCCTCAGCCTCAGCCTCAGTCTGCCTCAGCCTCCTCGGCCTCAGCCTCAGCCTGCCTCAGCCTCAGCCTGCCTCAGCCTCAGCCTCAGCCTCAGCCTCAGCCTCAGCCTGCCTCAGCCTCAGCCTCAGCCTGCTTCAGCCTCAGCCTCAGTCTGCCTTCAGCCTCGGCCTCAGCCTCAGCCTGCCTCAGCCTCAGCCTGCATCAGCCTCAGCCTCAGCCTCAGCCTGCCTCAGCATCAGCCTGCCTCAGCCTCAGCCTCAGCCTGCCAGCCTCAGCCTCAGCCTGCTTCAGCCTCAGCCTCAGTCTGCCTCAGCCTCAGCCTCAGCCTGCTCAGCCTCAGCCTCAGCCTCAGCCTGCCTCAGCTCAGCCTGCCTCAGCCTCAGCCTCAGCCTCTCTGCCTTCAGCCTCAGCCTCAGCCTGCTCAGCCTCAGCCTCAGCCTCAGCCTCAGCCTGCCTCAGCCTCAGCCTCAGCCTCAGCCTCAGCCTCAGCCTCAGCCTCAGCCTGCTTCAGCCTCAGCCTCAGTCTGCCTTCAGCCTCGGCCTCAGCCTCAGCCTGCCTCAGCCTCAGCCTGCATCAGCCTCAGCCTCAGCCTCAGCTCAGCCTGCCTCAGCCTCAGCCTCAGCCTGCCTCAGCCTCAGCCTCAGCCTCATCTGCCTTCAGCCTCGGCCTCAGCCTCAGCCTGCTCAGCCTCAGCCTCAGCCTCAGCCTGCCTCAGCCTCAGCCTCAGCCTCAGCCTCAGCCTCAGCCTCAGCCTGCTTCAGCCTCAGCCTCAGTCTGCCTTCAGCCTCGGCCTCAGCCTCAGCCTGCCTCAGCCTCAGCCTGCAGCCTCAGCCTCAGCCTCAGCCTGCCTCAGCATCAGCCTGCCTCAGCCTCAGCCTCAGCCTGCCTCAGCCTCAGCCTCAGCCTCGGCCTGCTTCAGCCTCAGCCTCAATCTGCCTTCAGCCTCGGCTTCAGTCTCAGCCTGCCTCAGCCTCAGCCTGCATCAGCCTCAGCCTCAGCCTCAGCCTGCCTCAGCCTCAGCCTGCATCAGCCTCAGCCTGCTTCAGCCTCAGCCTCAGCCTGCATCAGCCTCAGCCTGAGTCTGCCTTCAGCTTCGGCCTCAGCCTCAGCCTGCCTCAGCCTGCCTCAGCCTCAGCATCAGCCTGCCTCAGCATTCAAAATGTGGCCAGGGAATGGAATTCTGGGAACTCGAAGAACACGAAGTGGCCTACAGTTTGCTCCGGGCATTCAAAATCATACCCAGGAATGGAGTTCTGGGAAGTCCAAGAGCACGAAGTGGCCTACAGTTGGCTCCGGGCATCCAAAATGTGGCCCGGGAATGGAGTTCTGGGAACTCGAAGACCACGAAGTGGCCTACAGTTGGCTCCGGGCATCCAAAATGTGGCCCGGGAATGGAGTTCTGGGAACTCGAAGACCACGAAGTGGCCTACAGTTGGCTCCGGGCATCCAAAATGTGGCCCGGGAATGGAATTCTGGGAACTCGAAGAGCACGAAGTGTGTGACTGTTGCATCCGGCCCTCCAGAATGTGGCCCGGGAATGGAGTTCTGGGAACTCGAAGAGCACGAAGTGTGTGACTGTTGCATCCGGCAGAATGTGGCCCGGGAATGGCGTTCTGGGATCTCGAAGAGCACGAAGTGTGTGACTGTTGCATCCGGCCCTCCAGAATGTGGCCTGGGAATGGAGTTCTGGGAACTCGAAGAGCACGAAGTGTGTGACTGTTGGTGAAAAACGAGCGGGGCCCCCTGCCGCCCGGCAACTCCCAACGCCTGCCCGGACCCCCCTGTGGAGTGATCTGTGAGCTCTTTTGACCCTACTAGAAACCTATCAGTCTTCGCTGTTAGGTAATAAAAATAATAATCGTAATAATAATAATAATAATAATACGAATAATAATAAACAGAACTGGCTGCTGCATTCGCCCGCGGGCGGCCCGAACTGTGCTTCCCGGTCGCGGCCGCGGGTGTGGCTGCGGTGGGCGTGCGGGCGCGCGCGGCCGGCCCCCAAGCGCTTCCCCCCTGTGGCGGCCCCGCGTGCGGCCTCGAGCGACCCGCGGGCGGCCCAAGCTGTACTCCCTGGTGGCCCTTGTGGCGGTTGCGGGCGTCGTCGCGGGCGCGGTTGTGCTCGCGCTCGCCCGCGGGCGCCCCGCGGGCGGCCCAAAATGTGCTCTCCTGTGGCCCTTGCGGCATTTGCGGGCGTGGTCGCGGGCGCGGTTGTGCTCGCGCTCGCGCGCGGGCGGCCTGAAGTGTGTGCTTCCAGGTCGCCGTTGCGGTTGCGGTTGCGGTTGCGGATGCGTTCGCCGGTGGGCGGCTCAGAAGAGGTGTCGCCGGTTGCTTTGCGGGTGCAGTTGCGGGCGCGGGTTCCCGCGGGCGGCCCAAAGGTGCTCCCCGAGTTGTCTGTTTACGTCAGTCAGTCAGCCAGTTAGTCACAGTCTGTTCGGCCAGTGACACCGATCAGAGGCGGTATGCTGGACCTCGCAGTGCTGCAGCCAGGAGTTGGTCCTAATATGCAAGTAGATGCCCAGTCTGCAGTGGAAGAGGTCAGCTTCGCAGGCTGATTATATTCATAGTGGTTGCAGGTTCCTTTCGCTGAATCTCCTCAGCGAGGTCGCACGAGTCCTGTCGTGTGGCCGAACACCTTGTATGTGAAACATCCGGGATTCTGGAATCGCAGTAGGGTTGAACTCCGGCATCTCATCCCCCACTGGTGGTTGCTTCATTAAATATTTTCTCGCCTCAGGGTCCCAAGTAGGTCGGGCCAGACGGTGGGGCTGCCCCCTTCCTCTTCCTCTCGTTTGTATGCCCCCCTTCTCTCACTCCGTTCCGTTCCTTCAGGTTCAAGGTCGGCCAGATGCGCTTCGCCCCATTCCAGCTGGTCGCCCACGCCCGTTCCAGCTTTTTCTGGCTGACGCCGTCGCGTTCTGATCTTGTGGGGTTCGTGCTGGCATAATGTTGCGCTACAGTGCTTCGCATGTGTGCCGAGAGCTTTGTTGGTCAATGTTTTGCTCATGATGTCTCGGCGAAGAGGTGTGCTACCGATCGGCCCGTTCAGTTCTCCAGTCTGTGAGGCGGGAGCGGCGGCTTACATCAATATTTAGCGACTTATGCTCTGCTAGCCCCTCTGATCTGGAGTGCCGCGAGGGGCGGCAAACATCGCAGGCGATTTCTCGCGCCCAACCCTCGACCTTTCTGCGAAAATCAAGCCGCTTAGAAAGGGATGAGGGACCCTGGGATGCACCATAGAGGGGGCTAATCGGATGCACCCTTATCGAGGATGGACGGCCCCCTGTCCTGTATCCCCGAGGTGGGCGCCATTTTTCTGTTCCACTCGAAACGTCACGAAGCCTGGGATAGGGGTCGACAGATCCCCGGTCAAAGCATAGATCACGTGGTGGAAGCGCCAGCGCGTGCGCTTTCGGGCTGGCGTATCTGCTACGTCTGGGCACTACGCAATTCCCAAATGCCGTGTCAGCGACTCATCGTATTGGTCCTTGCGGAGTCATCCAATCACATGGCGGACTCTTAGGTATTTTCGGACAGCAGGTGTCCAATCCTTTTATGCAGGCGCCCTTCCTTCGAGAGCAATTTACCAGGGTAGCGTCACACGTTTTACGCCAGCAGTCTGGATGCCCGAGTGCAAGAGCACGTATGTCGGTACATGGTATGTGGGCGTCACACGTTTTACGCCAACAATCTGGACGCCCGAGTGCAGCAGTACGTATGCCGTATGCTATGCACGCAAGCACTGCATGTATCACCATCGTTTGCATAATGCGCTGCAGTCTTTCCCACCTCCTGCGTTACCCAGGGATTCCCATACCCTCTGTGCAGGTGTGAGTTGGGGCTGTTCCTCCGGGTCCGTGGGGTGTCCTTGGTGTTCTTTGGCGTTCGGCGGGGGATCCTCGGGGTGGGGTCTTTATGGGGTTCTCTTGGAGTCCCTTGGGGATCCTCGGGGTTCCTGGGGTTCCTATGGTGGCAACTGCTTTGCATTGCTTTGTGCTAGCTTGCAGTGGTTCCAGTTGCGTTGCATGACTTTGCTTTGCATCGTTTTGCACGGCTTTGTTCCCAACCATCCTGTGGTGTTGGATCCTCGTTTTGAGGAGACAGCGCCCCACGTCCCACTCACTCACTCCTCCTTCTCCCCCTCCTCCTCCTCTTCCTCCTCCTCTTCCTCCTCCTCCTCCTCCTCCTCCTCCTCCTCCCCCTCCTCCTCCTCCTCCTCCTCCTCCTCCTCCTCCTCCTCCTCCTCCTCCTCCTCCTCCTCACTCCTCCTCCCTTCTCTGCCCCTGCCCTCTGCACCACCCGCTCATTACGGCACACCCCTCACGAGGATCGTGGCCCCATAGGGAGCTCCACCGAAGGCCCCGTGGGAAAGGTTGCATGGCGGCCCCGCCCCAGTTCGGCGCACCCCTCACGAGGATCGTGGCCCCATAGGGAGCTCCACCGAGGGCCGCAGTGGGAAAGGTTGCATGGCGGCCCCGCCGCAGTTCGGCGCACCCCTCACGAGGACCGGGGGCGGGGGCCGGGCCGCGGCCGGGGCCGGGGCCTTGGCCAGGGCTGGAGCAAAAGCTGGGGCCATGGCCAGGGCTGGGGGGCCAGGCCGGGGCCGGGGCCGGCGGGGCTTTGGGGCCAGGGCCAGGGCCGGGGCGGGGCCAGAGCCGAGGCCAGGGCCGGGGCTGGGGCAGGGGCCAGGGCCGGGACGGGAGACGGGGCCGAGCCGAGGCGGGGGAGGGGCATTGAGCTCCCCTGCCGACAGGGGGACCAACTCCCTGTCCCCTTCTCCACAGGGGGGGCCGCCCGGGGGAGGGGAGGGGAGGGCCGCTGGGCCCGCGGGGGGGGGAAACTCCCCCCCCCCCCGTCTACCCCCCACATTTTTCCCCCATATTTTCCTCGCGTCAGGGAGGGAGGAACGGGAGGGAATCGACTTGAGTGCTACGTTTCTTTTACGAAGTTTCTTGTCCCTGTTCGTTTCTAGATTTCCTTGGGACTTGCGACGACGACGAAGACGACGACAGCGTCTCAAGCACGCCGACTCGGTCGGCGGATTTCCTTCCTCCTTCCCCGTCCGCTCGTCTCGTCTCCTCCTCCTTTCTTCACCCCCTCATCCTATTACCTTCTCTTTCCTCTTTCTTATCCTCCTCGTCTTCTTCTCTTCTTCTTCCTCCTCCTCCTCCCCCCAATGGATATGGGCGGACGCCGGCGACAAATCGATTCCCTCGCCTGGACAACGCCCAGGCGGGGAAACACCGCAACACAACGCTACACCCACCAGGCGGGGGGACCCAGCAGTAAGGGGGATGGGCCGGCGTCCAAACTCACTAGCGTGAGGGAGGTGGCCGATATTTCGATAATAGGCACATGTGTTCGCACATGTGTGTATACATATATGTACACATAACACGCGCATGCAATCCATACCGTGTGCACATGTATATGTGTACACATATGCATGTTCGAGCTTCGTATACATGCGTATGTGTGCATGCATTTAGTCATCACATCGGCATATCCATAGAATGCACACGTCTGCGACGCGAGTGTGCTTCGTATGTTGCAAGTCGTGGTCCTGGCTCCTGCGGAGCCATTGCTGCAGCTCCTGCTAGGAACATGCGATTCGCGCCTGCCAGTGGGTCTTGCGTTGTTGTTCGCGACATGGCGTTCGTATTGCGCCGCAGCTTTCCGTTGTCTTTGATTAGCCATGCACGGCCATGCTTCAGCCATGCGGCGTGCCCTGTCGCAGGTCAGCACCCTGGGAAGCAACTTATCTTTCGACAACACCAGCCTGCAAGAGGAGTGGCATAAGTCGGGTATAGACCTCTAAAGCGTTGGGGACTGCGACATAACATTTTACCAAGTCGAGTGACTGCCCAAACCCAATCAAACACATGGTGGCGTGTGCCCTCCGATGGCTTGATGGAATCAGTTGCGCCCGAACTTCTGTAGGTTAAGCGTTTCGATCCATGCCTGCTGGTCCACGCCAGGACGTCCAGCTGGCGATCCGTTAGGGCGCCATGGTCCGTCTGGTGGTCCCGCGGATACGCAGGGTATAGCACCAGGTGCAAGCGTCGTGCAGGATGCCGTTCGCAGGGGCGTCGGGATTTGTTCTGTGGTCACGGTCTCGTGGCGCTGTAGACTCGGCGTGTTAGGTGACACCGAGAAGCAGACCTCCTTCTTTGAGTCGCCGACAAGTCTTGCGTAGTTGGCCACTTGGTGCTCCGAGTGCCCCCTCCCATCCCTTTGTTGCACCCTCGTCGACGTCCGCCCGATGTTTTGCTCGGGAGGCCTGGCGGTCCCAGAGAGGTATGAGACACGACCTCGGAGGAGCATGTTAGACACCACGTCGCTTAGTCGTCCAAGGAACGGAGGAACTCAGCAGAGGAATTCGGTGCATAGACGCTTCAGCATCCTACAGCCCGAGAATCTGGTGCGTCCAGACACCGAACTCCCTGGCCGATCAATCGACGTGGTGTATACATGGCTAGTTCTGGAAGCCCTGCACCAACAATCTTGTCATCTCTTGGGGGCGAAACCTTTACGTCTACAGGCTTCCGCTGGCCTTCCGCTGGCTTCCGCCGGCCTTCCGCTGGCCTTCCGTTGGCTTCCATTCATCGCAGACGAGGCCCTTTCTGGAACGCCTCACATCGAGCCCCTCCCACGACCCCATCCCTGGGCTCTTTCGGGAGTGCCTGGGGTGCAGGATTGATTCGGGCATGTCGCGGCCGCACGTCGGGGCCCACGATGGCAGCCATCAAGAACAAGCAAGCAGTGTCTTTGATTTCCCATGGATGTTTCAGCCGCGAGAGGGGAGGACAGATGGGGAGTAGGAGGGAGGGATGCAGGGGAAAAGAGGGTGGCATGGGAGGGGCAGGCGAGGGGAGGAGGACGGCCTGTCTTCCACCACTATTTTTCTCCACGTGCCTCTCTCGCATTCTGTCTATCGTTCTCTCTCTCTCTCTCTTTATCAATCGTTTTTGTTGTCTTTTTGTTGTTGAGCTCCCATGTTAGAATAATAATCTTTGTTGACCCCCTCATCAGTGCACACTGTGTTTTTTTCAAGTGAAGTGCTCTCATCGGGGCTCGCACCCTGTTTTTTATATAATGGGACGTCTTCCTGCTCAAACTGGGGTGCTGGGCCCCGAGCGACAACAACAGCTCACGCCTGATATTTCCTCACACTTTATTTCAAAATCAAGCTCTCGCGCGGGACTTCCTCACAATTTCTGCATGAATCGCGCTCTCTCGGAGGACTTCCTTGAATTATTCAGACGCCGCGCCCTCGACACTCAGATGCCATATTTTTGTTCTGGCTGTTCTCATGATCTACTTGCGAATCGCGCTACCATTCGAGTCTTCCTCGCGACTCATGCAGGACTCACGCTTCAGCAACCCGCCTGCTCGACCCGGCCGCCTGTGCCGGCCTTCCCGACCCGCCCGCTAGGGTCTACCCGCCCGATCTGCCCGTCTGCTTCTGCCACGTGTTTTCAGCTCCTAGCCCCCCTCTTGCTAATCTCTCTCGTGCTCTATCATTATCCGTACCTCTTCGTCTGTCCTCTGTTCCCCTGTTTTAGGGGCTGCGCTCAACACACGTGGCATGTCAGTAAGATATACTCCCGAGGGGGGTACGATGGAAGACGAAGAGGGCGGGTACCGCGGCTTTGAGAAATACGTGTTGAGTGGCACGCGAGCAGATCGGAGCGAGCATTCTTAAAATGATAGTTGTTGCTGCTGCAGCTGTTGTACTTTCATTTCTAAAGGATTATGGTTGTTGACCCCCCTTCTGGTGACCCTTGTATTTCTCGAACCAAAGTGCTCCTCCCAGGGCTCTGACCGCGTTTTTTGTTTGTTTTGTTTTGTTACACACACATATATATATATATGTGTGTGTGTATATATATATATATATATTAAAAACTCCTCAAAAAGAGATAGGGCAAGTCTGGGGTCACCATA